CTTTACCGTCACAGCCTCGGGGGAGCTTCGGACGCTGATGAGGGAAGCCCCTCGCAGGGAGAGTCCCAGGGGCCCGAGCTTTCCATCCTAGAATCACGGAGTCATAGAATGGCCTGGGTTGGAGGGGACCTCAAAGATCATCTCGTTCCAACTCCTCTGCCATGGGCAGGGACACCTTGTACTAGACAAAGTTGTTCAGAGCTCCACCCAGCCTGGGCTTGAGCACTTTCAGGAATGGAACATCCACAGCTGCTCTGGATGCACCTATTCGAAAGGTTCCTATTCCAAAGGTGCTTGTTTGGCCCTTTCAGGGAATATATTTAAAGGCACGCTCCTTCACAACTGTGTGCAGTGTTATGCAGCTTGTTACCTCACCTGGATGTTGGCCTACAGAGAGCACAGTCAGGCATCACAGAGCAGCATCCTGCCAGCCTGGCCTGTGCAAACTCTTGAAAATATTTTCAGTAGTATCTTGCCATTTGAGTACGATAACTAACTTTCAACTAGCCTGTAGAAACAGATAATTAGCACATCCTACAGTACAATATTTTAACAGGAAATCAAGGCAAGTTGTGGAGCAAAGATTTCTCTAAAGACTACACAAGTCTGAAAATGAAAAAGTCAGAACAGGAACACAACCTATTCCAGTGCCTCACCACCCTCACAGTAAAGAGCTTCCTCCCAATATCTGGTCTAATCCTACTCTCCTGTTTGAAGCCTTTCATCCTTGTTCTGCCACTTGTAAAAAGTCCCTCTCCATCTCTCTTGTGGGCTCCCTTCAGGCGCTGGAAGGCCATAATTAGGTTACCCCTAGGCCTTCTCCAGGCTAAACAATCCCAATTCTCATAGGAGAGGTGCTCAATTCCTCTAATCACCTTGGTGGCCTCCTCTGGACTTGCTCCAAAATGTCACTGTCCATCCTGTGCTGGATGCAGTACTCCAGGTGGAGTCTCATGGGAACAGAGTAGACAGTCCCCTTGGGGACTGTCACTTCTGATAGAGAGTTGATGTGGAAACTTATGGGATGGAGAAAATAAATCTCTTGGGTATCACAAGGCTCAGGGGACACACATGGTGGTCTGACTGCATGTCCCTGCTGTAAGCACTGAGCATTGCCTTGGTAAAGCAGCACTGCCTGCCTTCTGCCAGGCCTGGCAGCCCCTGCCTGCCCCTAGTTCTGCAGTAATCAGCAGCCTGTCCCAATGGGATACACCCCTGAGCTGCACAGTCACGTGAGTTTCAAGCATGGCAAGCCACTAAGCTCAGGTTCAGCACTGGGCACCCTCAGTGTACCTCTGGGGTTTGCCAGGGCAATGGGTCTGCTCTCCCACCAACTGTGCAATGTTCTTTTCCCACACTGAGCAGCTCAGTCCTTGCCTGTGCTGGAGTCACAGTGCAGGGAAACCTCCTCCTGCCCCTGTGCCCTCTGGAAACCACCAGCTTGAAAACTGTCTGTTTGAGCACAGACATGCTGGCTGTGAACATGGCCGTTACATGAGGTTCCCCTTTTTGATCCGAGGACAATTGTAGTCCATCCCACAGTATTGTCCAGCCTGGCTGGGCAGAGAGGCACAGAGAGCACGAGCTCAACTTGGCATTGCAGGGATGAGCAGTGTGGGACTTCAGGGTGAGAGTTTCGGGGATTTCCTGTGATGTCCCCAAAAGAAGGCCTGGGGATCCACCCACAGGACAGCAAGTCTGCTGCTGATGTGACTTCGTGCTCTGAAGACACACCACACCAGAAAGGCACCCCGGTGTATACATTTTCTCATGAAATTACATAGCAGAAGAGCTTTTCTAGACTCGCCTGGGTTAGCACAAGCACGGGAGAGTGCTGTGCTTGTTGGCTTTAGCAAGTTTGATGCCTTTGCTGATACAGGATATGTAACAAAAAACTAAAAAGCCAAGCCCAAACATGTTGTATTCAGTCATTCTAGTATGCTTATATTAATAGACCTTATTTCAAATAAGGCAAATCATTCATTGCAATATGCTGTTGTGCTTTTCTACTTCATGCTTACCTCCATGCTAACTTTTTTCTGGTCTATGATCACACACCTTACCAAAATATTTCCAACAGGATAACCTCACTGACAGGCAGCCTTTGGTCAAAATGCAAACCCTCATCCCAAACATTTTTTTCTGGGTAACAACCTTAGGTTTTGACAGATCAGTTTAAGCACGTAGATTAATACCTAAGCTATTTATGCTGAGATAAAGATGAGATAAAGCTAGGTTGGAAAAAATGTCACCAAACTTAAGTGGAGCTTAAATACCCCAGGTAAAACTCAGACATTGGTCCATCTCTAATGATAAAGTTCTCTGGGAATAATTTATATATTAAGCACATAAATGATATATATAGTATATAAATAGTACTGTAATAATGTTACGTTTTGATGTGTCTCTATAGTCTAATTTCTCTTACTGAAACAAAATAATTTCCATCCCTTTAGAGAGCATAATTAAATAAATTTTGAAGTATGCTTCAAACTTTTCTTTGGCAGCTGAAAACTCCTTTCTATGGCTCTTTCTTTTCTGTTCCTCTTCATCCCTGTGCTCCAGCACTCAGCTGCATTGCTGTTATTCCTACTGTCAAACTGTGACTTTGCTTTTAATTCTTTATACTTTTACCCGGTTGGTTGTGGTCTGGTGAAACATTAATTTTTTTTGCCTGTTGAAATTACTGGCAAGGGAATATAAAGTTCTGTGGGCTTCATGAAGTCCTCGGTGCCATTCCTTTCGACTATTCCATGTTTTATACCTTGCAAGATGCGGGAGTCATGCACGGCTCCGGGAGAGGGAGCTGTTTCCCAGGGTACCCTTGCAACCTTTGCTCAGATTAGGAGAGAAGGCAGTACTTTCCTTAGCACTTTATATAACTAGTTCTTTCCAGTGATGTGCTTTTTAAAAAACTCTGCATTTCCAAAAGAAATTTCTGACAGACACTTTGGTCACTGGACCCCAAATTCTGTCCCTAAATCAGGGTGAAATAAGGATTGGCAGAGGGGGTGGGAATACACGCAGGGATGGGCACTATTGTCTCTCATTCCCAAAATCTCCCTTCTGTGGCTGTGAAGGCCTTTCCTGGGGGTCTGTGGTCCATAAAATGTCCTTTATAAAGGCAAAGGGCAAGTCCAAGTCAGATGAAAACAACACTAGAAGAAAAAAAAGGCTTTGGCTCCACCAAAATTCCTTAAACAGTATTATACTGACACTTTTTTGTTAAAAATCAACAGCTGGGAGCAGATGGGCATTGACAGTGCAGCTGTTTGAGAAGCAAAGAAAGGGGGAAAGCACGTCAGGCAGAGTTTGGTACCCAGGCACCCTCAGCAAGGAATGCAGAGCTCCCCTCTACAATGAGGCTGTGATACATCAGAAATAGAAGAAAGGGAGGGAAGAAGTAGACAATGTCTCTATCTACGACAAACAAGTCTCACGATGGAAAGATCCAGGGAGCAACTGGAAACCTCAGGAAAACCAGTGTTACTTCTCCCAGCACTAAGAGCAGACACTGTGGTCTCATCCAGCCCTCCTGCCTGTCCCACCATGTTCAGCCAGGGAGATCTTCTCTGGTGGAGTCAGGTATTACTCCAGCCAAGGGGCTCTGCAGGCTGGTGCTCAGTTTGTCAGTGAAGATGAGCA